GCCCACCTGCACTTGTTGTTTCTGACTGATGTGCATGAGGAGATATAACAAAAGAGATGCTGATAGGGGATGAGAAGAAGCCGAGTGGAGAGGAAACAGTGAGAGGACTGCTGGAGGGTATCACTTTGGCCAAAATGTTGAGGCTCTCTGAAGCAGCTCGCTACTGTTAGCTCCTCTAATTCAACATGCAAACGTCGCAGAAAATCCATATGGGGCCATGAGAGTGATGGATGGAAAGGAAGAGGGACAAAGGTCAAAAACAGGAAGAGAGAATTGCATGATAGGAGTAATTTCCTCCTCTTAAGAGGATCATTTACCGTCTTGACGTAACAACACGTTCTCCATTTGAAATCTGAAAAGCACACATCTGCCAGCTATTAGTTTTGATTCTGTTTGCAAAAAGCCATGAAGCTAACACTGCATTTATGTGTACACATGACAGCTCAAAATCAACTTTCTTTCTCCTGACTGACAGACTGGCTGATGGGCTGACTGACTGAGGTCTTTCTGAAGAACAAACAGCAGTCGACCAGAAATAATTTCCCAAGCTCCTGTTCCAGTTAGAATCACGGTAATTTGTTGACCTGCGTTCAGTGATAGACTGAGACAGGTTAATGCGTTTTCTTCACAACAAACCGCACTTGGACTAAACACAAATAGCTGCTGCTGTCAAAACAAATGAGTTTTCACTTTTAAGATGCATGAAGGAGAAAAAAAAAAAGACAGACGCAATATAAATGTAAAACAAGGTTGTATCTTAACCTTAAAACAAATCACTCAAAAGTGGGGAGCTCATCACTCTTGGTTGGTTCTTGAATGTAAATAAACAAACAAAACATTTTTAAATTTTTAACCTTGTTATATAACGTTAAAAAAAGTAAACATGTGGGTATAAAAAATGTGTCATTCAAGTACAACATTATTAGCTTAATTGACATGTGACCGATGCCATGGCAATCAGGCAATGATCTGTTCAGTTGACCTCGCTTTCCGTGTGAGAGTGGCCACAACTCTTCACACACAGACAACTGCTGGCTCTGGTATCTTTTCCACTGTCTGTTGTATAGAGGGAGACCGTATAACAGACGCATGTGTGTCTCTTTGTATATGTGCATGAACACAGAAATAACAATAAATTATTTTATTTATTCTTAGCAGCAGTAGTATACTTTGTTGCTTATAAATAAAATTAAATGTGTTAAGTGGAAAAAAAGTATTTTTTCCCCCAGATATTTAAAAATGACACATTTTGGAGCTGTAATCGCAATACTGTGATACCATGAAACCGTGATAGTTATCATACTGTGAAAATCTCATACCGGCACATGCCTAGACACACTGAAAGAAAAAGCCACATTTTATGTAGGAAAAAGAGAATACAGTAAAAAGTAGAACTATATAATTTCCAAAAAAGACAGATGGTCCTCAGCGGCAGATTGAGTTTACTCAGATGCCATTGAACTTTAAATGTTTAAACTTTCTATTATTCTGAGCACCTCTTGGACTTCTCATCTATGTTGACATAAAGTGAAAATAAAGTCTTCTACGTATGTTGACTTTGGTAACTGAACAAACTCAATCTGCTGATCAGGGCCGTGTAAAATGATTGAAAGACGCAGAACCAGTGAGTAAATGGACCTTGACTTGAGATTGTTTGGTCAACTGCTGCTTCCAAGGTCAAAACCGAACTGAACTTTTTTTGCTGCTGTGTGGGAGCAGTCCTTTTTCACAGCAGAAATTTTGACTCATCATAGTAGGACCATTAACATTAATGATGCTCTGTTCTATTCAAGTGTCCCGGTAAGCCATGACAGTGTGACAGTGAGCCATCACGCACAATACCAGGACCCTGAAACTGAAGCAGCTATATGGAATTCAGTCATCACTAATTTGATTAATTACCCCTGTGCTTTTTCTAATGTGACTTGTCAAAATGTGTCTTCTGTGAAAAAGGCTTATATTTTTTTAAGTTAACCAAAGTGAAACACTGTTTCTTAAGCTAATGCTGTACATGTGAAGTTATAGCAAGCAATATCCAATGTGGAAACAGTAGTAATGAGAGAGAAATACATAATTTGCTCTGGTTACACGCAGTTAGTTCCTTTTCCTAATGTTTACATGCTATGTGCTCTTGCATAATGAGCTTCTGTTTGATCTGATTTTGTAGAATATACCAAATCTCGTGAATGTTTTTGGAAGATGGATCACAGATTTTTAATGACACTTGCACATCTTCATTGATCTTCAGACCACTTAAAGGCCCTGCACACCCACACATTCAATTACTCTGGCTGATTAGAGTCGAGGCTATGCGATGTTGAAGTTGCCAGACTCTATGCATTAATACTAATGACGAAGATGTAAGCTGTCCCATCATAACGAGTTCAACAGAAACTGACAGAAAGGTCGGACAGATGTCAATCAAGCACAGTGTGTACACACTCACACCTTCCTGCATAGAGGTCTAACCGGGTAAAATAAGGGGAATCATTGAATTTCCTCAGATGTGTCACTGCTTACCTGCTTTTTTTGTGTGAACACAAGAAGAATTAGAAGATTAGAGACACAAAGATTGAAATATTTGACTCTTTTATCCAGAGATAATCGTTGGAGTAGAATCCCCCAGAGGTGCATTTATTTTTACATCTTTGTTTTGGGCTGTATTTTATTCTCTCATATGTGCGAACAAATGTGAACAAATTCCAACTGTGGGGAAGGAAAATATAATTCATTATTGTATCTCAACACATGGCCCTCATACTGACAGGCTGTGTTGTGCCTCATTAATCACTTGTTCTGCTGCAGGATCCAGACTTTACCAAACGGCCCCAATGAGCAATGGGATTCTATAACTCATAGCTTAGATTTTTAATGAGGGTGTTACTCAACATTGTCCATGTGTCTTTACTGACAGCCCTGAATCAATTTAGGAAGTTAGAAATACAGATGACGATGAGGATCTAGCGGAGCTGGAGCGCTACCAATATCCACAGCTTCTCTCTCTAATACCCTCTCCCCTCCCCTCATAAATATTAACTACAGACCCATTGTAGAAACACAGGCCATCAATAATGAAGAACCCCAAAACACTTCTTCCCAAATAATTGCAGCTTCAAGCCAAGTCCTGGAGACAGCCTCTAAGGTGTGTTGCAGCTGCCGTTGCCTCATTTTGCCTAAATAATCATTTCACATGGAAAGCAGAAGCAGTGCAGAGGATATTGGTTTATAATGGGGCTGTGGTCGATGTACCTAAACCTTTTTGGAACTGAAAGAAAAGACCAATAAGCTGGTCAACCGTGCATGGTGAAGTGAAAGAAATGGGAGCTGCAGATGTGAAATGCAACACAGAAATGAAGGCATGCTTTTCTTACGCCATAATTGCTCGAGAACAGCACTGCATTACGGTGGTAAAATTGTGGTCAAGCACTTACTGTTATAGGCAATTAACCTTTTTGCCCTTTGGCCGTAATTAATATCGAAAACATCAGATTTGCAGCTGTTTAGCAACATAATAAACATCACAACACTTTAGTAGCACCGGGAAAGGCAATTAAACACTCCTGAGAGAAGAAAGCCGAAAGAAAGACAAGTAATCAGTAAACAACAAATATTTTATGACTGTGCCTTTCTCCCGACATTTAGGCTGAAATGTCAAAACTTATTCCAATTGTTTCTAAACAACCATTACGTTTTGTCTCATTCAATACCAAACCCAAACCAGATCGACTGCAGCAAATTGCAAACTGCATGTGTGGAATTCATGCAGTTAACATGGCATTTGTCACAAATAATTGATCCAACATCAGATTGTTGATTGATCTCCAATGGTGTTAATGCACAGGCACACCTTAATGTTGCATAATATGTACATTTGGGTATAAGCATCGAAGGTTACTGATAATCAGACCCAGGACAATAGGTCTCTCATGACTCCTGATCTATGACCTCTTGCCACGAGCAATGACCCTTAAAACCTCAGCTCGGCCCATCTTTGCATGTATGAATATGGAACACAAAGAGCTTGAGAAGTCGAATTACCACAAGATTCAACACGCTGGGTGGTCTTAGGAGGTTAGGGAATTCTGATGGCATATCTGTCTAATAGCTGTTAACATTAGGCTATATATTGACCCATAAAATCAGAAAGGATTTGAGATTTAATACAGATTTATACAAGCTTTGGAAAGTGCTGAAAGAAAGACAAACCCTAAAAGCCAAAAATGTAAGACAAAAGTTTTAAATGCACATTACATTGCAAAAGAGAGCCACTTCTGTATGTAATCTAATATTCAATATGGTTCATCCCACAGTTCTTTGTCCAGGACCCAGAATCAATGGGCCAGACTGAAAGCCGTCAACAACTTTGTACCGACTGTGATCTGTTAAAGCTCAATTGCACCCAGTGGGGTTCATGTTGCTGAACTTCAACAAGTCTTCAAAAAAGTAAGAAAGTCACTTTGATATCAATGCCACATCTCCTTCTTCTTTTCTATATTTTCTGCAGCATGTGCCCCTACTCCAGCACTTTAATCAGCTGCTCTACCCCTCACTGAGCTCATGGCTCCTCTGTGGCTCATGTGTCCTTGCATGTCTCTCTCTCACACACACACACACACACACACACACACACACAGTGGAGCACATATATCACACATTAAGCAACCACTGTCACAACTGGCTGACTTGCAGCATATGGATATTCCGTATTCGCTTTCAGTCAGGGAGCTTGAGCCAAAACTACTGGGCCTAACAGGAAAACTCCTCTTGGCTTTGAGTGCATTGAGATTGGATCCAGGGAAGAAAGAAGGAAACACAAGCCACACAGGGAAACTCGCTGGTGCATTCCTCCTGAATTCATTGCACAGTAGAGTACATCTGGTAAATGCTATCCCAACATATGGTCGCCTCTCTCTCCCTTATGCCACAATGACACAGCATCTGTCTGCAGCTGCTGACCTCCGAGGTCTCTGCTGCTCAGCCCTGACCTGGCAGTGACTCACCGATCTCGCAGCTCTCTCCAGAGAAGCCCTGAGGACAGTAGCAGCTATAGCCATCACCTTCCTGCAGGCAGCTCCCTCCGTGAAGACAAGGGTTGGTCTGGCATGGGTTATTCTCCACTGTAAAGACAGACAGAGCGGGAGAAGATACAAAACATAGAAAGAGCATTATGGAAGTGCCTCCAATGTTGACAAACTACAGTAGGGCAGGCAGTGAGCCAGCATTATGCTCCTCTTGTTGCTCTCTGACAGAGACAGAGGAAGAGTAGAGTGGGCAGACAGTTTGTTAACTCGTCCCTGTCTCTATGACTTTCCACAAGGTGACAGATTGGTTGTTATTGTGTCTGTCGTGCATCTGTTTATAATGACTGATGCTCAGGCGAAGGACAATGTGCTGAGGCGACCCCCTCCTGCCGTTCTCCTGCCTCTCATCCCAGGTCCTACTGATGAGCCAAGGTCCTCATAAATTAGCTGATCATAGCCCAGTCATGCATACTGGCGCGGGCACCTATTTTTATGGCACAATACTGTGTTGCAGAGGGGGCAATAAACACATTTTACATTGCTATAACTCTATGCCTCTTCATGGGAAATGTTTTGGCGGATGAATGGTGGAGATTGAGGAGATTAAGTCGTAATTATTGCTCTTATATTTTAGGATGGGACGGAGGGAGGAGGAGAATTTGACAAGGACGGTTAGAGCCGAGAGCAGGCGTCAGGATTTTTTATTCTGTGTGCAAAGAGGGACTGTAGGGAACTGGCTAGATTAACTGTCTTTTTATTATCCAATCCTGATAGGATTGCAGCCCCTGACACAATCTGTCAGGCCATCTAATGCACTGCATCTTCTCCATAATAACACCCAGACTCACTTAATGATGTATGAGCAGAGAGATGCTGTGCAGAACACAAAGTGCAGTTCCCCAGAAAGTCTGGGAATACTGTGTGTTTATGCATATGTGCGTGTGTTTCTGGACGTTTGTCTGACCCTGACTCATTGCAGGCTGGTGATATATACAGTAACGCAAGTGTGTGTTCAATTTCCTGTGAAACAGGGAGATAGACTCCTGCTGCTGCAAAAAGGCTGTTGTTGATACACTGGGCAAGGGCAGATGATGGAAAGGCTGCCTTTGAAAATGCATAAAAGTGATCCGCTGAATGAGAAAAACCATTAGAGACAGGCTCGTTTCTTAAATCAACAGCGGGGAGGAAAAAAACAACACTGTACGTGATTTGAAAACATACATTGCTTAAAGGTTAATGACGTACTGATGGAGACGGTAAAATCAGCAAGTGCTGAGCAGTGCATAAAATAAAGAGAAGACACAGGATATGGTCAACGACAGCACCTGGTTGGGTCTAAAAATGTCAGGTAATGGAGAAAAGAGTGGAAGGAAAGGAGCTGTTTGAGTCATTATCCATCCATCCATGTTGAAGAAAATGTAAAATAAATTGGGGATCTGCTTGAAGCTACTACTTTAAGTACTTTTGCCACCAGCACTTAGCTATTTTCAAAATCATGTACTGTTTCTTGTAGCAAGTTATTCTTTCCCACTAAGTAGCTGGCTAGAAAGGCCAAATGCTGGTTCCACATCACTTTGTGTTTACTCTTACGAGTGGTGGAATGTAACTGAGCACAAGTATAATTTTGAGGTACTTGTACTTCAATCTAAAGGTAACACTGTGTTAAACATTATTTGATGGGGGGACAGACTTTGACACAATACTGGTCTCGACTTTCTGCTTTGTTTTGCTGACCTACTGCAGGCGGGGATAACCAGATCATCATCATCATCACATCATGCACATTCTCCCTTTAATTAATTTAATATTTCAATATTCGACAGACAAAAGTGAAACTTAAAGCTGAAGTGTAGGGCTTTTACACAAACGTTCGTTATACTCAAGCCCTCGGCAAATAACTTACAATATGGATTAATAAAAAAAAGGAAGTGATCAACAGCGAGGACAAACATGGATAACCACTGGTGTAGCGTTGTCTCGTTGGGGAGCGCTGAGAGAAGACAGGGGAACGAGGGCAGACACAGCTGTCTTGTTACTGCTCTTGGACAGTGTGTAGTAAGTCACATACTGAGTGCATTTACTTATCACATCACTTAACAGTAAAAGTTTCTCAATGTGTTTCATTGTATTAAGCTTTGCTTTCTGGGTAGCTTGTAGTGAAGATTACTTTCAACAATGGTGTGGTGTTCCTGTAACTTAAATACTTCAAATGAAGAGTAGTTTGTAGCTTTACTAGATACAGTTTCAAAGTAGCTTCACCAACACTGTACGTTACTGTAAATCAAGACGTTAATCTGTTTCCAACAGCACAGAATATACTCACTGTGATGTGACTTCCATTGTTTCCTGTGTGCTGTTAAGGAATGCTCCAATTATTGGTTTGCTGCTGCCACATTTTCACAACATGACTATGCACTTCATTCTGTCATCGCATCAAGCAAGGCTGGATAGATGCATTAGCAGTAACTTCAGAGAGCTTTCATGTCAAAATTGCTTTAAACAACATGACTGTGTGGCTTCTAATCATGATGCTCAACCAGTTAGACAATAAATACATTATGAAAAAATTGTAATAGTGGTGCAAGACACTACAAAAGTTGAGATTCACTAATCTACTACTCAGTACTTAACCTTCCTTCCGTCCTTTGCAATGCTTAATCTTAAAAGCTACAGGTGTAAATGGATGATGTACCCTAAGAAATAAAAGATACACTGAGTCTGCCCTCACAAGAACCAACATACTAGTCTTATTCTGATGGAAATAATGACCTAACGTTATATATAAGATATAATAACATTATATACCTTTTTTAAATGCCAACATTTAACTTGGGAACATCTCAAAATGTACTTGTGTGCTCTACAACCCCCTCCCTACGCATTAATCTGCCTGAGTCACACTTGTACTGCCAAAGATAAGTCTGACATCCGAGTATCTCTGCATGCAGCTTTGGTTTTAAATCTGCGCTACACAAACGTCTCTCCACTTTGAATCCCAGCCAAGACGGACATGTATCTTCTGCAGATGAAAAGGCAGTAATGCACAGGGTGTAACTGACAGCTGAGGGCCGGGTCATCAAGTAACCTCAGTCAAACATTTTTTTACTTCATTTTCCCGTGATAACAGGATAATTATCCTGCGATCTCGAGATAACAAAACAGTAGTTTAACACAGTGGTTCAATGGTAATTTCACTATATGTCTCACTGTCACTGTTTAGCTCAGTTGGACGAGCACAGGACTCATACTGTTGGAGTCGTGGGTTTGATCCACACAGAAGACTACCTTTTTAATCTTTTAAAAAATTTTCATAATCCTCTTCAACAAAGTTCTTATGAAGAGACTCGCGATTGGTCCACATCCATCAACCTATGGACTCCCAGGCAGAGGAAATTCCTGTGTTTTCATTCAGGGGAATCCATTTAACGTTACACATTTCCTGATTGGATTCCCCTGAATCTCTTCATAAGAACTATGTTGAAGAGGATAATAAAAAACACACTAAAGAAGAAAATAAAAGTTGTCAAAAGCAGGAGTTGAACACACTATCCTTGGATTACAAGGCCTGTGCGCTACCAACTGAGCTCACCAGTCACACTATAACATAGCCTGAAATTATCCATAAGAAACACACCGGCCGACCCCTGTATTCAGCTATGGTTTGTTATCTCGAGATCACGAGAAAATGATCACAGGAAAACAGAGTAAAATAAGTATTTGAATGGATGGCCGCTTAGGGCTTCCATATCCAGCAGCCAAAAGGTGAACTTCTTAGGACCATTCTCCCAGCAAACCACACCACCGCGGGCAACAGGCCTGTGACTCTGGCTTGTGTTACTATCTGCGTGAATACTGCACATGGTTTTCTTTGCCATCGTGAAAAATGAGAGTGACATATCTTAAAAAGTAATCCATAAGCTCCTAAGCATTTAAGTGGATGGCATCACCAACTGTGTTTATTCATGTGTGTGGGCATGCGTGTGTTTAATGCCTTAAAAACCTTGAAAGTGTTTGCCTATTGGTCCATTTTTCTTCACAAAAGAAGACATTTATTGACTTAATTTGACCATTTCCAGCAAAACTGACTTAATAATGACATGAAAAGGACTCGTCCTCAGCTCCCATCTTCCAGCACTGATAAATAGTGGCTGCTCTCTCTGTGGTGATACAGAGTGAGAGCTAAGCTGTAGCAGTACAGGACATTGATCCAATCTGTAGACAATTAGTTCCGACTTATTACACACAAATGAGACTTTGTTCTTCACCATCTGTCCACAAACAGTAGCCTGCAGTCTTCGTGGTGACATCAAATGTACATTGTACAGAAATGAGACAGAAGTTGAGGACTGTTGGACTACAGCAACATCTCTGTCCAATGAAATGTTCCGCATGAATGGATAAACACACATGGAACCAGCCATGTAACAGGTTGCCTAAAAATGTGACATGACCGGTTTAGTGCTTAGGCATTCATGTCAGGGCGGCGTTTTCTTTGGATGACATTTTACAGTTTTCACAATTAGAAATCTGCGCGTGTGCGCAAAAGACGTGACGAAATGAACATGATAGCGAAAAACAGATTAAAAAAGTCATGAGAGAGAGAAAAGCGGAAGGAGACAGACACCCTGGCCCATGGGAAAGAGGGAAGGAGAGGATGCAAAATTAAAATTTAGCATAGAGGAGTGTGTGAGAGAGAGAGATTGATTGAGAATGCGAGAGAGGGAGAGAGAGAGAAAAAATGTCAGCCAGGGAGGGACAGAAAGTCACAGAGGGAGCTATCATATATTTCTTCCTCTCTTAATGCTTGCTGCTAGCTTATGATTAATTACACACCGGTCTTAAAATAGGTCGCCTCTTCCATTCCTACTGTGTGTCTTTCTTTTTCTGTGTGAAAGACAAAAAGTAAAAGAGAAAGAGAAGAGGGAGTAGAAAGAAAGATGGAGATTGGCACATATAATGAAAGAGAGATATATTAGCTCTTACATGGGTTCAGCTCTCAGATCTGAGCTTTGCAGTCATACTCATAAAATAGATAATGTAAAGTCTTCTTCCCTGACACTGAGCAGATACTGCAACGTCTCTTCTGTCCTCAGCAG